GTTTAAGTGTAAGTTATTTTGTGTAACTGACGTTGAGCCTAACATGCAGTGGCACAACTATAGAAGAAGCGGACTCTTCAGCCACGGGGAGGGGAAGAAGGAGGCCAAGACTGTGAGGTCAGCTTCCTCCATAGTTGGTGGAGGAGTTTGGGGCAGGGGAAGAAGGGGGCACAGACGGTCAGGTCAGCTTCCTCCATAGTTCTGAAGAATCGCTCACTCCCCAGTCCATCTCCCACCCTTGAATGGAGACTCAGGGGAGGGAGGTGAGAGAATGGACCAGTGGGGGGCAGTGTGGTGGTGGCGGGGAATTTGGGGCGGTAGGGATTGCTCTTCACTGGGCCATTCCAAAGATTTATGTTTTCGGGTGGTGCCTGGCGCACACCTTTATGCCCTTATGTATTGACAGATGCCCTCGGTGACCTCTAAAAACCGTAGAGTCCCCCGTCTAACTCAGCCTTTAGCCTTATGACTTTACATGGTCACGTATGCTCTCGTGACCTCTAATAACCTTTGAGTACCCTGTCTAACTCAGCCTTCAGTCTTATGTCCTTATATGGTCACAAGGTGCCCTCTGTGACTTCTAGTGATGTCATTTCTGTCACATGACTCGCTGAAACCTAAGTGTCAAGGCCGAGAGAGATGCATGATCACTGTAGTGTTGTACTTGATCGAGTCGACACCACAGCTCGCACCTGAAGGTGATATTATTATTTGCAATTATTATTGCAGATTTTATTGTTTTTGAACTTTTGGCAGTTATTATTGCAGATTTTTTGTTTTTGAACTTTTGGCAATTAGTATTGCAGATTTTTTGTTTTTTAACGTTTGGTAAAAACTTTCCCTTGACATCTGGATAAAATATTTGCCTTTTACAAGGGTGAAAAAAAGAAAAAGCCAATGGCTTCATCAGTCAGCTTTTCTGACTTGGCCAATCTGGCAGTTGGCAGCCCAGAGACTGGGGCATTAAATTGCAATGCCTTGCATGCTCTGCTCCATGGTATTATAAGGCATTTGAACATCCAGGATGCGAAAGCCCTGGGAGATGAGACGATGCGTCTTAAAGATGAAGGTCTGGCCATTAAAGGAGGTCACATTTTTCCCACCAGTCCCATCCTTGACAGGTGGGAAGTGGTAAAAATAAAGAAGATGGCTGAAGCTAACAGAGATGGTTTATCCACGGCCATGGAATTAATACAAAACATGGTCAATATGCTGAAGAGCGTCCAAACCAAACAACTGGACATAGAGAGCCATCTGAACAATCTTTCAGATGAGTTTGAGAGAAAAAAAGTGGAAGAGGAACACCAGCTGAGTGTCCTGAAGGCAGACATACTGGACATGTCAGTTAAACTGAAAAAAATGAGAAAGAAGCAAGAGCGAGATCAAGCCGCTACTGAGCAAAGAGTGGCCGATAACACCTTGCGCTTACAGGACCAGTTGAAAATGCTCTGTGAGCTTGAGCAGAACAAGGATGGGGAGACGCTTAAACAAATACAAAAGAAAATAGAACAGCTGGAGAAAGAATGTGCAAAGCTCAAAAACACCACAAATTCCTTGATCCATAACCATGAGAAGTCAGTGGTGGAAAATGATATGTTTTTCGAAGCTTTGAAAAACCTTGAAGAGAAGAAAGCAGACAAGGATGTTGTAGAGGAGCAGTTGCACACCAAAGCAGATAAATGCTCCCTAGAACAGACAGTGAGCCGCACACAGTTTGATAGTGCTTACAAGAACCTGTCTAATGCCATCAAGGGCTTGCTGGGCAAGGTGACATTACAAGAACAGGAATGGCAGATATCTCTTGGTAAAATCAAGACCGAGATGCAGAAGAAAGTGGAGCACAGTGAGTTGGACTTATTGAAGGATAACATAGAAGAAAGCTCGATGGCCTTATCTCAAAAGCTGAAGGAAAGACCACCACCGGCCAAGCCTGATGTGGCTGCCGGCATCCGCAGACAACTGATTCCCATCGCTAAATGTCTCTCCTGCAGCCATCCTGTGGAATTGAAGGTGCCTAAACCTCCTCAAGCATCAGTTCCACACTTTCCTGCTTTCAGCAAGGCTCAACCTCTGGCACCCATCACCGCCCAGGGTGTCCAGACTGTCCATCACAAAGGAAAGCACGTCACAAATTTCTCTTAAGCCGTCCAAAACCATCAATATGTATGTTTAGTATGAAAAGAAAATGTCACTTTACACTTGATATGTCGTGTTTGTTTTTACTGTGCTGTTTAAGTGTAAATGATGTTATGTAACCGCCGTTGAGCCTAACATGCAGTGGCGTAACTATAGAAGAAGCGGACTCTGCGGCCGCAGGGAGGGGAAGAAGGAGGCCAAGACTGGGAGGTCAGCTTCCTCCATAGTTGGTGGAGGAGTTTGGAACAGGGGAAGAAGGGGGCTCAGACTGTGAGGTCAGCTGCCTCCATAGGAAAATGATATGTTTTTCAAAGCTTTGAAAAACCTTGATGAGAAGAAAGCAGACAAGGATGTTGTAGAGGAGCAGTTGCACACCAAAGCAGATACATGCTCCCTAGAACAGACAGTGAGCCGCACACAGTTTGATAGTGCTTATAGGAACCTGACTAATGCCATCAAGGGCTTGCTGGGCAAGGTGACAGTACAAGAACAGGAATGGCAGATATCTCATGATAAAATCACGACCGAGAGGTAGAAGAAAGTGGAGCACAGTGAGTCGGACTTATTGAAGAATAACATAGAAGAAAGCTTGATGGCCTTATCTCAAAGGCTCAAGGAGAGACCGCCACCGGCCGAGCCTGATGTGGCTGCCGGCATCCGCAGACAACTGATTCCCATCACTAAATGTCTCTCCTGCAGCCATCCTGTGGAATTGAAAGTGCCTAAACCTCCTCAAGCACCAGTTCCACACTTTCCTGCTTTCAGCAAGGCTCAACCTCTGGCACCCCTCACCGCCCAGGGTGTCCA